ACGCTTACCTTTTTTTATTCATCAATGAACAAAATAAACATATCTTTAGCTTTGTACATTATATAATATCTTAATAGTACAATTAAAGGCATGACGAATTAAATTTTTAAACGTATTTCCAAACCATCAAAAAGATCAGGGCAAACATTGATCCAAACTTTGTGATCATTTAAAAGTGTTTGATTTGAACTCTTTTGAGTTAGGATAACATCAAACATGTAAGAGTTTGTTTTAAATACGTTGGCTTAAAATAATGTAGACAACGTCCAAACAAACCTCACAGCTGTATTTAAACACCAGATTTTTAATCATGATTACCCAATTGGAAGGCAACATAGAATCTTCATGATTAAAAATAAATGATCAAACACAGCTATTACATAGAAAAAAGCAATCAGGTCAGTAATAAGAGAACTCTGCCCAAATAGCTATGTTTGGATAAATATTGGAGAGCCGAATATGTCGCACTTAATTAACTAAGTAAATCAATAAAAAAAACAACATAAATTAAAGTTTTCCAAATGTAACTTAAATGGTTTAAAAAACGGCTATGTTGTTGCAGTTTTCACGTTTTGAAAAATATCACAAGTATAGACCTAAAGTAGACTGCATTAGAAATAATAAAAGTGGAATTTTTGCACAACAAAAAGAACAACAGAACAGAAACAAATAAAGTGATGATTTTGAGCATTAGTAGCTTAATTGATACTTTTCTGCTTGTCTTTTAACTACTGCTCCCTGTTACTAAATGCTGAAAAATAAAATGTGCAGATCAATTTATTCTTTCAACACCTACTCAATGGATATTAAACTATTTTAAAAGTTCGATCAAATTCCCTTTAAATAGATTACATACATAATTTCCAAAACAAAATATGAATTTAATTACGTAAAGCATGTTGCATATTCACAACCTGTTTCAAAATGTTGGCTATTAACATGACATTAGGATGACTTCAGCTGTTTATATTTGCAAAACACTCTGATACCAATAAATTATTTAACATGTCATGGATAATCTTCACCTGTCGTTGTTTATTACAGTCCGTGGTTTGGATTACCGATGATTTGGACGGCTTAACAATGGAATTAAAATACCTTACTTAGGTGTTTACACAAAATGAAAATTGGTCCCTGATTAGCTTTGTTAAAATAATGTTTGTAATAATATTATGTTAAAGGTCAAATTACAGTGGTAAAAAGGTTTTGTGATATTGAAATATATTTGTATAAATTCTCATTAATTTGATTATCTTTTAAATTACAATATTGGATCTAACAACATAACGTTTCCAGATCACCTTTTTTTAAGAGATTTACAATGAAAAAGGCATAAATACTTGAAGTGACATGTGGAATTAACTTTTTCATGTAATTATAATACCAATGAAGTATGTCAATGGGAATGTAGTGTAATTGATGTCTGAATATCATGATCAATTCAGCATCGCATTAGTTTAGCCAGAGGATACAGATAAACATTATGTGTGGTAATTTTACTGGTTATGATAGTGGATGACTTCGACAACAGTGGTTAGGCTCAATTCGTGTGTAAACTCATCATGACTGTATAGGTATAGCTAAAAGGATACATAAATAATAGGACTGTTTGGACTATTGCAGTGCACAATGAAGGGTATCAACAATGAGAATATAGTGTAATTGGTCTATACATAGCTTCATCAACTCAGCATTACTGTATGTAGCTAAAGGATAGACACATGTATAAAGGGACTGTTGCAGCGATCATATTGCACAATGAAGGATACCAACAATGAGAATATAGTGTAATTGGTTTATACATAGCATTATTAACTCAGCATTCCTGTATGTAGCTAGAGGATACATGCATACATAATGGGACTGTTGCAGCGATCGTATTGCACAATGAAGGTTATCAACAATGAGAATATAGTGTAATTGGTCTATACATAGCATCATTAACTCAGCATTACTTCATGTAGCTAGAGGATACACACATACATAATGAGACTGTTGCAGTGATCGTATGGCACAATGAAGGATATTAACAATGAGAATATAGTGTAATTGGTTTATACATAGCATTATTAACTCAGCATTACTGTATGTAGCTATAGGATACACACATACATAATTGTACTTTTGCATCAATCGTATTACGCAATAATAGATAGCATCAATGCGAATATAGTGTAATTGGTCTATACATTGTATCATTAACTCAGCATTACTGTATGTAGCTAGAGGTTACACACATACATAATGAGACTGTTGCAGTGATCGTATTGCACAATGAAGGATATCAACAATGAGAATATAGTGTAATTGGTCTATACATAGCATCATTAACTCAGCATTACTTCATGTAGCTATAGGATACACACATACATAATGATACTGTTGCAGTGATCGTATTGCACAATGAAGGATATTAACAATGAGAATATAGTGTAATTGGTCTATACGTAGCATCATTAACTCAGCATTACTGCATGTAGCTAGAGGATACACACATACATAATGAGACTGTTGCAGTGATCGTATTGCACAATGAAGGATATTAACAATGAGAATATAGTGTAATTGGTCAATACATAGCATCATTAACTCAGCATTACTGTATGTAGCTGGAGGATACACACATACATAATGATACTGTTGCAGTGATAGTATTGCACAATGAAGGATATTAACAATGATAATATAGTGTAATTGGTCTATACATAGCATCATTAACTCAGCATTACTGCATGTAGCTAGAGGATACACACATACATAATGAGACTGTTGCAGTGATCGTATTGAACAATGAAGGATATTAACAATGAGAATATAGTGTAATTGGTCTATACGTAGCATCATTAACTCAGCATTACTGCATGTAGCTAGAGGATACACACATACATAAATATACTGTTGCAGTGATTGTATTGCACAATGAAGGATACTAACAATGAGAATATAGTGTAATTGGTCTATACATAGCATCATTAACTCAGCATTACTGCATGTAGCTAGAGGACACACACATACATAATGAGACTGTTGCAGTGATCGTATTGCACAATGAAGGATATTAACAATGAGAATATAGTGTAATTGGTCTATACGTAGCATCATTAACTCAGCATTACTGCATGTAGCTAGAGGATATACACATACATAATGAGACTGTTGCAGTGATCGTATTGCACAATGAAGGATATTAACAATGAGAATATAGTGTAATTGGTCTATACATAGCATCATTAACTTAGCATTACTGTATGTAGCTAGAGGATACACACATACATAATGAGACTGTTGCAGTGGTCGTATGGCACAATGAAGGATATTAACAATGAGAATATAGTGTAATTGGTCTATACATAGCATCATTAACTCAGCATTACTTCATGTAGCTAGAGGATACACACATACATAATGAGACTGTTGCAGTGGTCGTATGGCACAATGAAGGATATTAACAATGAGAATATAGTGTAATTGGTCTATACATAGCATCATTAACTCAGCATTACTTCATGTAGCTAGAGGATACACACATACATAATGAGACTGTTGCAGTGGTCGTATGGCACAATGAAGGATATTAACAATGAGAATATAGTGTAATTGGTCTATACATAGCATCATTAACTCAGCATTACTGTATGTAGCTAAAGGGTAGACGGGACTGCATTATCTGAGCAATAATGCATGTAACTAGAGGATGTACACACACATTATATAACTGTTGCTGCATCAAATAGCAGAATGAGGGGTACAACGACGAGTATACATGGTAATTGGTCTATACATAGCATCATTAACCCAACATCGCAGGCATGTAGCTGGAGAATCCAGATGTGTATAATGTAGACTAGTTTTAATGCTGTGTTCTGTTTGAATATACCAACAAACCAATATAATAAAACACAGTCTAAATAATCTTGTTGAATATAAGTTATAACGGGTGGTCATAAAATATGCATTCTATTATGATTCGATATAATTATTTAATTTTTGTTCCAAGACACTGTTACTCACATCTGGTCAAAATTAATTATTCCAAGTTTAATCAATTACATATTCATTGTTCATTGTTTCCCTTTTGGTTGACTTTCAGTAGTTTTTTTATACAAGAATAAAAATCTTCTACTTTTTTGCTATAATTGAAGAAAAACTCATTTTGTCTTAATATTTGGTAACAGTTTTACATTAATAAACGTGAATTACTAAAATGAAACAGCTTGCTAGAAAATATGTAGGGCTATATTGGGAAGGTATGAACAAAGAATTAGAAAGACTAGTGAAAAGCTGTGAAGCTTGTGCTAAAGTTCGTCACAATCCACCAAAGGCTCCGGTACATCCGTGGGATCAGCCCGGTGGTAACTGGGAAAGAGTGCATATTGATTATGCCGGTCCATTGGATGGAAATTGTTTCCTCGTGTGTGTAGATGCTAAATTGAAGTGGGCAGAAGTTCGCATTCTTCGAAATGCTCCTTCCTCAACAACGACGATCAGCTGATCAGTGAATGCTAATGGTGGGGAACCTAGGAAATCTTTCCCTTCATCCGTCTAAATTGTGTGAATGAACTATAATGCACAAAATTCACGGCACCCTAAAAAAATCCAACTCACTATAGTACGACGCAATTAGACCTAAACCCAAAATTTCAAGTGAAAGCTAACTTTTGACTTCTAGAGTTCAATAGTCCCCATATTTTATGGTAAAAGGTAACACCATTTTGGGGTTGGGTTAGAGTGGAAGGGGGTTAAAGTTGAAAGTTCTGTATATTTTGAGGTTTTCATTAAATATCTCACGAACAATAATGTGTTGTAGATTTTTGTAAATAGCATGTTTTGCGCTAAAATTTATCGAGAAATGTCATGAAATAAAACAAAAAACTACAGAATTTTCAGCTTTAAAAATTCCAAAGATCAAAATGGGCTATTTGTTTTTCATAAAATAGGGGTACTACATTGAACATTTGGGATACATAAGTTACTGTTCACTTAAGAGGTGAGGTTAGGCAGTATTTTTTTTGCACCGTACTATACCATATTCTCCATGAAAATAGCATAACACGAGTTAACAAAGTTAACACTTTAACCACAATCTAAAAAATCTGATATAATACAAAACATAGCTTAATAGATTGTTCAAGTTTTATCTTGATTGGTATTCTACCCAACTGAGGTAGTACAACTTTAAATGGCAAACTTCATACACAAAACTTATCTTTCAGCAAAACTTGAACAAGTTTCATAGGGGATTTTACTTTTGGCGTTCAAAAAACGTAATCTCACATTCAAGAGTTCTTTCATTGATGACATTATGTAAGGTGCTCTGTGGAATTCTCATGCAATTATCTTCATCATCTGAGTCATCGTTTCCCCATCTTTCAGAACACTTCACCACAGAAGCCTTTAACGTAGATGCATATAAAAACTTATCTTTTTTTATCTCTACTTTTACAAAATATTCACTTTTCAACTTTCCAATTGGAGTTGCTTCAAAGGCAAGTTTAAAATGTTTCTGATTTAAGTTTTCGGTAATCCAGAATATATTGTCAAACCCAGAGATCAAATGATGATCAATATAGTAATTCTCAGGATTAAAACCAAAACAAATACCAGGATTAGATGATCGACAATCTGCTTTGAATTCGTAGTGATAACCACGATGCTCTTTCTTATAGTGATCCATCAGTTTTATCAAAGTAGTCACATGGTTGCAATCGGGGCACCTACATTCTGCAGGTCGAAAACCACAAAATTCCTCATGGTCACTCCCGGGCTCTAGTATGTGTTCACAGCCATCTCCATGGTACTTGCACTGACGAGGCAGGGCTTCCAGGAGATTTTTCAAACACACAGGATTCTCTATTATAAATGGACCTTGGCATGTTGGACAATCCTTTAGCTTCTCGCAGCAGCTGTTGCAAACCCCATGACCTCTGCTGCATAACTTAAATGGAATTTGGATTGTGTGCAGGCACACGGGACATTCTATAATCTCTTGCAGATATGATGTGATGTTCTTCAGTATTTCATAGTTTTCCTGAAAAAAGAAAGATTTTGGTTTCACACTTTGCTTCGACCAGTTAGTAGTTTAAGCAAATATTATTAATTTTATCATGTTTTAAATATTTTAAAGAAAAAAAATTTGGGCAGCTTTTTGTTTAGTTTCATAAGAAAAAGGTGTTTACAATTCATTCTTTGCAAGCTAGAGTAGTTTCCCCCCCTAGTGAGAAATCAAAGGTTAAATTCATTATTGCGTTGACAGAGTAATGCCATTGGATACTAAGGTAGACATCCCATATTATATGGACCAGTGGTCATCAGTTTATCAAAGAAGACCGTAGTTGTGTGAGCCAGTCATATAATGTGCTAGTGTTGTATATTCTACTTTCTAAAAAAATGTTTGTGCTGACATAGTTGATCTTGATAGGTCATAACAGTTGCTTAGCTCACAATAAGTTGCTCCAAAAGTTTGACATATTAAAAAGTTCGTGTATTCAAAACAAATCTGTAATTTGCATTAGCACAAACTGTTGGTGGCTCACATCAACTACAACGATTTTGATCAAGAAACTAGTGACAACCTGGGACATGGGGATGGAATGTCTAGTTGTATTAATAGTCAAAGGTAATACCTATGGCATCTAATATGTAAGTAACGGAAAGAGCTGTTAGTTTATTGTAGTAAACCACAATATAAACCATTTCGAGAGCTAATACTACTAAACGCAAAACTGAGAAGGTAACGAGACTACTAACAGACTGACTAAAGTTGCTTCAACTGTGTTTCGTCTTAAATCCTAATGTGGGTTTTCATATAAGTATGGATGCGTTATTTCAGGAATACTACTTGCTCTTGTTGGTTTTTAGAGTGTCTACAAATTAAAAGTTTGCTGAGAAGGATTAATCTAGAACCCACTTCCCATCTCTTATTTGTTCATTAATTAGTAATGCTTTCAAACAAAATATTGAAATTAAATATTAAGTAACAAGAAGAGAGCCAAGACTTCTGGGATGTGGGTTGGGTTGGGTTATGTTTTGAAATTTACCGCAGGATTTAGATCAATGCATTAAATGGAAAAGAGAAACGAACTGTTTCAAATTCAATCAAAATCTTTGATAGATAGCATATGTTGTTACACATACATAATTTACTTAAATAAATAAGTATTGCCTCCTCAAATGGATCATATGTGTTTATAAACTTTGGATTTTCTTGTTAAACTAATGATTGTTATTAAATATTGACACAGTTGTAAAAAGTAACTATTAAAGTTTTTTAACCTAGTTAATTTACTTTTTTAATTTGTTGAAAAAAAATACAGAAAATACCAAACACTAGGAAGGTTCTTACAGCTACAAGAAAGACGCACCTAACATCAACATTTTGAAAATCACACTCAACTCTTCTTTGCTTACTCTGTTGATTGTTATTTAGTTAAATAAGCATTTCGGTTTACTGACAATAGTTGATTCCCACTTTAACAACTGCAAAAATGTTGGGAAACGAAATTTAACACTTGTTTAGACTAAACATTTTCTGTATAACAATCACAAGGATAGCAACTCAATCTAATCTGAAGGACTACATAAAGTTATTTGGTAACAATGCTAAAAACCCATGAATGGATTCACTTTTTGAAAAATAAACTTACCGACTCTGCCATAATTTTGGCACAGCAGTTATATGTCTTCCACTAGGCTGGATTGTACTGAATTGGTTAGAAAACATATAACTTTTAAAGTAGAAGAAAGCTTATCGTACCACTTACTAACTTATTGAGAAGCAAGGCCCGCGTATCAGGTATACAGGCTTTTAAGGTGGGTTAGTTGATAAGTCGAGTGTTTTGATAACTCAACTGATAAGTTAAGAGGGAATTACTGGCATTTATATTTTTCAATTGCATTATCATAAATAATGAACTAACAAATCTTCACGTTTTATCTTGTCTCAGGTATGACGAGATCTACCTCATATAATCAATATTAACTAACCAAAACATAATTATAATTTTTTTCACAATTTTATTTACAGCCTGTTTAGCTTTTTGAACCCATCAACCGATCTAACTTTAAAATATTTCAATGAAAAAATATAACAATAAAATTTAAATTACTTCAACAGTGAGAACTGAGGTCTATAATAAGAGTTATATTTTAGTCTGTACGTAGGGGTACTATCATTTATGTAAGTTCTTTATATCGTTTGGTATGAGAAAACACAATTTTAACCCCATAAATCCCCAATAAAACCGCGTTCCCATGGTCCAATCATGTTGGCGCTCAAACTAATCCAAGTTTATCCCGCCCTACATCTTCAAGCCACATTTCATCAAAATGGGACAGATAATACTCAAGTTATCGCGTTTACTGATATGTAACACTTTGAACGAATAGTGTTTTTTTTCCTCTGGGGACATCAAAATTAAAAATTACATCGGTCCCGGGCCTAGGTCTTACCAGGAGACCTACTTTATTAGCTTATTTCCTATACATGGGATATTCGCTAAAATATAATATGATAACTTAGTAATTTTAATGAATTTCTAATACATGTTATATACAAAATTGGATTTGATAAATGTTTTGGTGGATTTTCAAGGGGAAAAGCCAAATCAATAAGAAGGCAACGAGGCTGAGTACTTTACACGAAGCCACTGAAAGCAGCAACAAGTCATTTATTTTTATTAACTCTCTTGATTAATGATCTGGTTCTAAATACATCTTGTTATCTTCTTATTAAAATTTATTTCCCATAATGGCGAATAAGTTAAATAGTAGCCTTAATAAGTATGATTGTTTTAGTCAATTGTATTATTAAGTGATGGTAAGATGTGTTAAATGTGGTAAACGCGTGCAGTTTAAAAAGCCACAAAAATCTTAAAATACAATACAACGAGTTATTATTTTAAAATTAATTGTAGAAATGCATTAAACTAAAAACAGAATAGAAAAAGGCCTACACTTTTAGTTATAAAAATTTTCTAATCCAAAAATAAACTTCATGATATATACTTTTAGGTTAATACTGTAATGCATAACTTAAGTTATTATCAAACAGAATTGCTAGCTACAAATCAGTTGTTATGCTCGGGCTGCTTTGGTAGTCAAATAGAGCGACCGCGATACGATCACAATGTCTGTATCCATGCAGATTTTCCTACATCTTAGCGTAACTTATTGATTAGTTTTTAGCAAACTCGATTATTAAGTGTTTATGTGTGTTATAATAATCTTTATTTACTTAAAACTGTCTTATAGATATTTTAGTTTCAATTTGACTTACATGATATGATTTTTATGATTACAAAGCAATTCTTTTAAACTAACTAATTGGTAAATACATTAGTATATTATCTATTAAGTCACTTGCAAGGTGATTATCATTAGTCTATGGAGTCTATGACACTAAGAGACTGAGTTATGTTTGACTAGATTCTATAAGAATTATATGCAATCAAGAAACAAATAAGATAGGTACCCCAATATTTTTTTTTTAGGTTGTATTGGTAAGAAGAAGGAAGCTGTTACGTCTTTAAAAGTCAGTTTAATATTACGGGAAGTGCTTTGTAGCTGAAAATAATGTTCAATATTGCAAGGCTCCTTCAAAAGGAATTATAGAGATGAATAATATTTTTTTACTGCGAGTTTAAAATATTGCACTTGTTTTCATGTTGTTATTTGTTTGAATAGAGTTTGTAAGATATTGGAATTATTTTGGTTTCTTCCCTTTCTAATGTACACATTCGATACAATATATAAAAAATTGTTGTGGCAAGTATCCGATTTTATTTGCCCTAATAATATTTTTGTATGTTGTACCTAAACTTGTAAACACTCGTCAGTAATTTCCCCATTTATTTAAACGTATGCTAATGGAGTGGATTTAAATGAGTGCCTATTAAAACCAGTTAAACAGTTGATAGTAGCCTAACATTCATCGTCTATTTAAATACTTACGTGATCTGGTCCCAATTAAAATTGAAACGGAATTATGGATGCTCAATGCTCATAAGATATCAGCCATTTACTGCTAGATTACACCCAAATAGAATACACCCAATTACCTTCATGAGTTGTATGACAGTTTTCATTGCAATCTGCTTCTAAATAGTAACAAACCAATAATAAAAATAAATTATTTTTTATAATGAGCAATTTTGACGTTTTGTCAATTTTGAATAACTTACCACACATATTTGATTGGTTTCTCACCAGTGAAGAGTATTAGTAGTAAGCAGTAGCAATGTAAAATCACTTAATCTTATGATACGTTACGATTCAGGTGATAACATTATACAAAATTAATAATGAAGCTAAGGAACAATTCCCAAAACCAAACATCAGTTAGCATATCTATCTATATATTAATAGGCAAGCATGTTTCTTTAAAACCTTTTTTTCTCAGCTCGTGTGCATCATAGGGAAAATCTGCGAATATTGTTAGAAAGATATTTCCTGTAGAAGTGCAGAATCCATTTAAAAATTAAAATAAGTTCAAATATAAGAGCCAAAAATGAATTTAAAATAAAAAAAAATAACATGGGCTTTATGGGTTGCCATGTTGGCGACGAAATAACAACAAAATATAAACAGAAAATCAAAACAAATGGAAGAAATTACAATCACGTGTTTTATTAACAGCGTGGGGTGAAAATTTAGAAGAGCCTGTACCTTTACATTCCATCCCCATGTTAAAGTTGTCACCAATTATATTCAATGTAGTTGATGTGAGCCACCAACAGATTGCGCTGATCTAAATGACTAATTTCTGTCGAATACACGATGTTTTTTACCAAGTCAAACTTATGGAATGACTTATTATGAGTTATAGCAACTGCTATGACCCATCAACTTTGTCAGCAACAATAAAATAAGGTATAAAAAAGAATTTAAAACACGCATTACTCACACAACTATGTGTTTAAAAAAGTTGTGACAGCTGGTCCATATAGATGGGATTTCTACTTTAGTATCCAATAGTCAATAGAAGAACATTCCATGTTTTTGGTCGAATTTTCATCCACTGGACGATCACTAGTACAAATAATTGGTCATTGAGGCATAACTACATACTAGTCTTTCAAACATTTTAAAATTCATAAATTAAATTGAACTTAGACATCAGGTGTCTAAATACTCTTACATAATTGCAAATTTACAACTGCAGTTGCAATCTAACGCATTTTACCTTGCACGAAATGGGTTAGTAGGTTTCTTTTTTTTATGTTGTTTGTAATAGTACCGAGATGCTAAATCCAAATTTTCGACCTCGGCGACCTTCCGGATCACCATCGGTGGAATTTCGCACTATTTTACGTTTGTCCAATTTTGACCCTGAAGCATCACTTTTTCATAAAGAACAAGCATAACCATTTTTAATGTATATTAAATTACCTATCATATAAGACCAAAATGGTTATTACAGGCCTAATAGTTTTCAAGATATGACTCCGCAAACAACGGCTAAAATTACCAAATTTTGAATTTTTTTTAAGTTTGGCTTACGTTAACCCTTAAGCATAACTTTATCGTTATTTTTCATTAAAACAACCATAATTACTTTGAAACTGCATTAAATTACTCACAATTTAAGACCAAAATTGTGATTATAAGCCTATCACATTGAGAGATATGCCTCTTCAAGGTTCATAAAATCTTCCATAAATGTTTGTATTTTAAGAATCAAGTTGTTCAATTTGGTCAAATTTTATAAAAACACCATAATAAGAACATAAAAAAATTTATTTCATTTCAACAACATATTATAAGTTTTTATGGAAGAAACCTATTGTAATTAAAATGTTTATACTATCAAGAGGAATTGAAATAAAGAATGAAGATGCAACAGTGAAAAAAGGTTTCAACTTAGCTGTCGTTCTACCATGCAATATATTACTTCTTTTATGCCAGGATTTACTGGCACTCCTCAGGACCTCCTGTCCTGTCTGTGCTGTATGAATTGAGAAGTAGTGGGGGGAAGGACTAACTTGTTCAAACTACAGCTAATTTATCTTGGTTTTTATTTATCTATCAAGAAGCTGCTTTTGCTATAATAGTATTCTTGTTTATCCTGCTTTTTAACTCCAAAAGGTTAAATGTTCGGCGATTGTATTGCTAAGTTAACGAACATATCTTGAGGTTTTTTCTAACAGTTTGTATAAAAGTGTGATATTGTCATGGCATGAAATTATGGTTGTTCAATGAGTTTTTAATCTCCCTTTTATAAAAAAAGGATGAAAAAGTAGTTTCTATTAATTTTCTAAACGTGTCAATAATTTAGTGTTAAACATTTACACATTGACTGACATTCGCTAGCTCCTCACATATTACCATATATATTTGTGATCGATTGCTTGGTACACAATATATATTTTTGATGCTCAATTCATATGCAGACTCCTAGAGTTTCGTGCCAACCTATGTCAACATGTGGCTCCCAAGATGGCGCTTTGACATGCTACATCAGGGCTGAAATTATGGCTAAATCTGAAAGATATGCACTCTAAAAACATATTTCACTTGTTGTATAGCTCAACTTAATAGAAATACGCCAGTTTAAACACTTATTGTTAAATATATTTACTACGAACAAAGGAGGACTCTATTATACCAATGAAAACGAAAGGGAATTAAATATTTCCAAGAACCTTTTTATCGCTCTTAGAAGCTATGGAAATTTAATTAGATTGTTTTTTATTGTTAACAATACAACAACGTCTATGATGTATAAAAATATTGAAAGATGGTAACATCTATATATTTTATTACTTATCAATAAATATTAAATATTAAACTATTGTTTTTTTGATATTATATATATTTTTAGTTGTCATTAAAATAAAATAAACGGTATCAGCATTCTGACACATACTTTCTCCCATAAGATTGTCAACAACCTTTCTCATGAGTAAGCGGTGAGAGTATATATACGGAAATGGGATTTGTACAATTTTCTTCAGAATTTAAAGGACTATAACATACTAAATTTTTATCAAAATCGTTCTAGCTAATTTTGGGAAAATCCGATTTTCCGTTATTTTGTGGGGATTTTATGGGAAAATAACATAAGTAACCATAACTTTTGAACCGTAATTTTTACAAAAATGGGATTTGTATAATTTTGTTTAGAATATAAAGGACTATAACATACTAAATTTTTATCAAAATCGTTAGGGCCATATTTGAGAAAATCCTATTTTTCCAGTTTTTTTATGAGGTTTTATGGGAAAATCCCCATTAAAAATAAAATTTTCTAAAAAATGACGAAAACTATCAAAATTGTAAGGATCCTAACATACTCTGTTAAATCAAAACCAGATTTTTGTCTAAAATCCTATTTTTTGTTATTTTATGGGGGTTTTATGGGAAAATAACATAATTTTCCATAACTTATGAACCGTAATTTTCACAGAAATGGGATTTGTACCATTTTGTTCAGAATTTTAAGGGCTACAACATACTAAATTGTTATCAAAATCGTTCGGGCCATTTTTGAGAAAATCCGATTTTTCCAGTTTTTTATGGGCTTTTATGGGAAAATCCCCATAAAAAATCAAAATTTCAAAAAAATGAAAAAAACGCCTGGAGATACCACGGATTAGAACCTACATACCAAATTTCATTGAAATCGGACCACAGGTGTAGTCCCTAGCTCTGTACACATCCAGACACACAGACACACACACACACACAGACATCACTTCAAAAACCACTTTTTTGGGTCCAGGGCGACCCAAAACGAATATATCCACTCAAAACTCAAACTCGAAAATTTTGACGAAAACTATACTTTCTCCATATACTATGGTATAGGGGGAGAAAGTAAAAAATAATTTTTGTACGGGCAAAAAATTATATAAATCTAAGAATTATTATATTTATTCTTCTTATTATTAAAATAGTTATCCCAACTATTTTTTTATTGATTGTTTATGGATTATGAAGTAACAGAACTCAAAGATAAAGATTCAATCCAAACTAGTCAGCCTGTATATGAAATTGTGTCTACATTATCATAGAAATTTGGTAATTATTGTACGTAATTATATGGAGTATTATTTAAAGGAATTTGATAACATACACCTAATCATTCTCATAGTGGGTATACTTTAAGTCATAAAATATATAATAATTTAGCCCATACAGAAAATATATATGAATAATCCATTAAATGATAATATACTGTATAAAAAATCAGTATATTTATTGTTTTAAGTTACTTTTAGCGCATTCTAGATCCTCATTAAATTTAACATTGTTAAATTTAACATTATAACATTGTTGAAACAGTTAAAAATTTAATAATAATAAAACCTCTTAAAAATCAAATATTGTTGTTAAATCATGTATATAAATTTTTAAATAAAAAAGAAATTGTTATTATTATACAATACACAACGATGTGAACTTTGAAACACATTTTTTATGTAGTCTTTGCTATTATCATTTAGCTACATTGCAACAGTATTTGATATTATATATATATATATAAGCAACAGTAACAATATGCAATGCTGTAAAGACGTAACAATCTATTTTCAAACCAATTAAAAGCACCGTGTTTTCATGGGTTCGCCAATATTAGTTGGTTGGACTCGGATGTCAATAAAAGTTATTGCCTCTCATCCCAAACTGGACAGTTTTAATTTAGTTCGATAAAAGGTTAGACCTAACAGGTTGCAGGCCAACCTTTAGTATTGGTTAAGTGGTATTTTTACAGCTACTTGAATACTTAAAAATTAATTTAAGAAAATCTATATGGCTTGTGGACATGTTCTTTTGTGAACAATATATCCTATTCTCTAACACGTATATATCCAGTGGAGATATTTTGACTGAATTTTGGAATTATGGACTTATAGTCATAAAATCGTGATTGTAAAAGCAAGTACCTCAGGAAAGTTAGCATTTTGCTGCACAACTCATTTGAAAATTAAGAAAAGTTAATATTGGACTTGTGGGTTGCTAAGTAACTATGTTGGTGAAACAAAATAATTAGGAAAAGTTAACAAAATAATTGTCACCACCACATGCGTTTATAACAAACCAATTACAAATGCAGTATACTAGCAAATTACAAAATACAGTAAAAAGGGGAAAAACTTCAGTTGTAACTATTGAGCAAAGATTAAGATTAAACTGAAGATAACTCGATATAGGGGGAAAATAGTTCCGATCAAATACTGCAAATATTTTCTTAGTCCTCTCCCACCAACACTTAATTTCCTACTGAGGCATTCCAAGTAAACTTATTCCATCTGGGGGTTTTAATTTACATAAAAATATACATTACGTATGCCAAATCCCAATGAAAAAAAAAAAAAAACAGATTCTCAATTTCTTTTTCCTACATTCACCAGACAAAATGGGCTTCCTTGCACTGATTATAGTACAGAAAACTGCTAATTGCTGCATTTACTCACTTTTCCGCACACTTTCTACTTTGTCGCACGGTTTTTACTTTGTCGCACACCAGTATTCCAACCAAACAACACAAACAGCGTGATTTTATTAAGCACATAATACGTTCACGCTTGAAATTAAGTTAGCAACACCTAAGATATTACGACTACGATCAGCTGGTGCAGCGTTTCCCATTTCGTTCAATGTTTGCATTTAACCTAGACTAAAAACATGTTTTATAGTGTTTGAAAGACTAATTATTTATATACTGTAATTAGATTACACATAAAAAAAATTAATGTGTAATTCGAAAGCAAACTACCTTTGCCGCACCCTATTAGCTACATAAATAAATAGAGTGGTAGTATAAAAAAGCGAAAAATCTTTGTCACAAGCCATTTTGAAAAATTATGATTTGTATAATTGCATAATTTTTCAAATTCATAAAATTATACATTAATATATTATTAAGGATAGGGTTGATTTAAGAAACTTGATCTTGATAAAAATATCTTTAATACAAACATTCATACATTTATACATATATACAAAGCATAAAACTCACTACATCAACTATTTTTTTAATAAATCATTTATGTTTATCATAAGACAACTTCTGAAATTGAAATAATATTATGTCGTTAGGTTCATATAAAAATATACTTTTTGATAAAAGTTTTCTTCTAAATAAATGAAGAAATAATTATTCTTTATCCAAATACATGTAAAGAAGTTATACAGTATACTAATATGCATTATTTAACTCGCATTAGAGATGTTACTAAAACATAGTAGTCGTTACAAACAAGATCATTTGAAGAGTTTTTATTTTACTTTACTTACTACTTCAGTTGTAATTTGTAGGTAACAATCCACAAATAAATCGATAGGCGTTAAGTAAAATACTAATATATTTCCAAAGACAATTCAAAATCAGCTCATTTAAAAACCTTAGCCTTATGAGAATAAAAACACTCTGTAGTATACCTAAACATTCGCCAATCACAGAAAACGTCTTCGAAATGTCAGACCATCACACTTAGTTTACAAATCAAGTACAAAACTTTTATCTACAGTATTTACAATATTCATGACGAATTTGTTGGTCGAGAAGCTATTGTCACCTTAGTTTCAGTATTAAAATAGATGATAATATAAGGGCTAACGAAACGTCCAATGAAGATGCGGAAGAGAATAGAGCACTCGGTGCTGAGGCAAGACAGTTGTAGAACTGACCAGGGTCTAGTCTTGTGATGGCGCAATAATGATTATGGGCTTGCTGCATGGACGCCATCACTCCTGATGTGCTGACAGAGTTCACTAAGTAGTATCTGAAATTCACAAATAGAGGTGATTAACAAATAGAGCCAAAAGTAGAGAATTTTCCGTAAAATTCAATTAAATTTGTGAACAACCTTGTATCCATAACTATACTGTGTTTAATGTACGGATTTTAGGATCATTATAGACACTAAACGAGGGAAAAAATACCTACAAATATGTTAATTTATGTTATAATTCTGTTTGAAAAGATGTAAATAAGTCTCAAAGAATACATGAGCTTGAATAAGGGAAATTTGCCATGCAAACCAATTTAAAATTGTATCTTGGAATAGTAGAGAGAGTCCAAACACAATTCTTAATAGAAGTACCTCACTTTATTGGAAAACAAGAGTTTTGGGGGGTTTTTTTTCAATCATAGTTGCTTTTCGAATATATATTTTTTCAATATATCCTTACTTAGAATAGTTGAAACAAAAAACTAAGTGCGAAAATGCTTTTTAGGAAGACATTATTAAGAAAATCTTCTATATTGAAAAGAGCTATTCATGCAAACTTATCAAAGTGTTTTTAAGTTTATATTTCAACAATATAAGGCTATCAAGTAAAATAACTTGGTATCCTGCCAAAGAACAAAGACCCGTTAAATAAACACTGGAAAATCCAAATCCTGAGGTGGACGGTTATGTCTTGTTACACAACAAGTTTATAACTCATAATTACACAATCAACCACACGTAACAACAATACAACTACCGTACCTGGCAAACAGTGGAAGACCGTCGGTGACTGTGAAGCTTTCTGCGAGGTCATGGAACTCCCCGGCCGAGACTCCTCGGTGGAAGCCGTAGTAGGAGGTGAGGTTGTACTCCACCGTCCAGTCAGCTGACTCCCTCTGGTTGGCTGTGGTCAGGTCCAGGTAGTATTGTACGTAGTCTATCACCTTGAAAACACAGCCACGATGTTAGTATGATAGCACTTATAGCACATGAAGAATTGATAGATTGGGTGTGCATGAAGTCAGACTATGATTTGCATGGTTAATGATTGAATTTTCATATCTTTTAAGTTTACTTACAGAAGAAAGGTAGGGAAAAAGGTTGCCTCTGGTAACTTTAAATACACAAACTGAGGTGACCCACCTCCAAGGCTACTGACCTTGTGTAAACACTGCTTCCTGATGAACTCATTAGAATATTAGTTTCAGTGATCCTGGATTTTAGTAGCTTAGTGTCGAGGTAATGCTCAATACCCAATAGAACTTTCTCCTTGAAGGAGAGTTCTGTTATTTTGGGTTTTAGCAAAGTTTCCTTAGGGAAGTAGCTATTAACGTGGGTGGCATGGTAAAACCTAGACCAGGGACCGATTTATATTTTAATTTTAGAGTTCTTAGACTAATAGATAAGGCCTATATTTGTTAACAAGATAATTCGAGTAATTTTGGTCCAATATTGATTTCATTTTGCATAAACGACTGTATACACTTGCATGAGTCGTGAAACGGCAAGATAAATAGTGGTACAAGTTGTGTTTTATAAAATATTTAAATTTAAAAAAAATCACGTTTGTGTCCTTAAAACATACAAATGCTCAAGTTTCATAAAAACCATCGTGTAGAGGTTAACAAAGCACATAATTTGAATGATCCAATGCGTTGTTGTATAATTAAAGGTTACGGAGAAAATACCAAAACAAATTGGCAATGATAGGTTTATTAAGAAAAGGTAAACTGTTGTAGTATGCATGTTTACGGATATTTTCTTCAATCAAATTTGACCTATTCATTTATTTCATACTATACTATTGCATTTTTCATTCAAAACATTTGCTTTCCTGTAGCAAAGAATGAATGTACTGGATAAATAGTTTTTTTTTTTTGTTTATTGAGGAAAAATCCAAGTTTAAATATATGTAGATAAATTCCAATCAGGCAAATGGAAAGGTTATTACATTTAGGAGCACATATTTTAGCAGGTGGAGAAAGTCATAATAATCGTTACTCGTATTATAGATTTCAACTTGATCTTAAATTGACAAGACAAACTCACACTAAACAATCATAATCATAGTTACGTCATCATATCTACGTTATGTTACCTGTCCTGTGTCACTGTTGAACTTGTAAAGTCTTATAGCAGGATTGTTGAACCCACTGGAACATCTTTTAGGGGTAACTGAAGGAGCGATGAAAATGTTGGACACTGGTCGTCCTGCAAAGAAAAATGAAAATTAAAAGAATAAAATAGAACAGCCACAAATGGTGTAGCCAAAAAGTTTACCTACGACAGTTTTTCTTAGAATTGAAAATATTCTCCTAACAGCATTGGTTACTTACGGCATTGATGTTCCTACAAGACGAGTAATGGACCGATGAGGTTCAAGGATTGAGAGAAAAGAAGTAAAATTGTAATTCTTCGAACGCCAAATTATCAGTTATTATAAGACCAACGTAATTAGTACGTAGTTATTACAGGAGAGGATTTTATGAATAGTTGAAATGAAATTGAAAATTTTCAGATATATGTGAGTGAGATAGTATTTTGTTGATGTTAGTGTAAACAATTAATCAGTGGCTATGAGAGGTTATACGCGAAAACATAACCTCTCTTGGAAGTAATGAGTAGTGATTTTTACTAATTAAGAAACAGTTAGCTATAGCGACACTCGTAGACGTTTTAAAGGCACTCGCCACGGCTCGTACCTTAAATTCTCCACTAGTTTCGTTAAGATAAGCCTTACTTGGCCGTTGCGTAAGCTACTAGAGTGTTCTCCATAAGTGATTTTCGCCCAAACGAACTAAGAACATTTTGAAAACAGTTGCTTCAAAAGTGGTTGTTATAGAAGCCATGGTGAATGAAGTTAATTTAGTTAAAACCCTAGCTGGTGTCCTAGTTTGCATGGTTGGTTATGTAACACTGCAACAATGAGAGAGACGTAAGCTAACTCTGGAGTGACATTTTAATGTTGTCGTCTCTCTTGAACATGTAATTTATAACCCGTGTTTGGCGTTCTACACTGTCTTCATCTGGAGCAGAAATTCGGTACAATTTTAACGTGTACAGGTTTTACGTTCAATAGTCATTATATTTTATACTGCTTTATGTTACCAAATTCTGACTTAGTATTTTAATTAGTGATTCAAATGTGTGTACTCGGATGGATACACTTTTAAATCCAAGGAAAACAAATTAGTCTCCATCTCAATTTTAAATTTGAACGATTTTTTATTTGAACATTCTATATTACTAATGATGTATGAACCTTATTTCAAGTACTATTATTCTGTGTTGGGGAGCAACCTGTTCTAGTGTCAGTGCGCGGGGCTTCGGATCCCGAGATCCTGGGTTTAAATCCCGCTTATTACCAACGCATTTTCATCTATATAATAATTCCGTGACCCTCTAGGACTAGTCTGTAGTAATGTGTTCAACAGTTTCGTGTTAGTACCTAGCGTCTAAGGATGTGAAGGGACATAAAAAATACTGTTATTCCTTATGTTTAGAAAACAATATTTATATTCATGGATAATTTGTGGGATTTGAACCCGAGAGCTCAGGGTCCAAAGCCTCGCGCTCTACTGCTAAACCAGATCACACTGTCTAATACTAGTACTAAACGAGAGTTTATCATATACAAACCTGCTTCATTGTAGACTACCCTGAACGTGTCAGAGTGTAGGTGGCCGAAGAACTGGCCTGTGATGATGTCTGCGTAGCGACGAACCAGTCGCAGGTAGCGGCTGTTGTGACGTGGTGCCATGGAGGTACGAGAAGGACTGCCTAGCCGCTCGTCCGTGCCTGGGGCCATGTGACCCACCAGGTATATCTGGAGATGAAATTGTGTTAGAGTGTTTAAGAAACTGAGTAACGTCATTCAAGAAATACCAATGGCAAACTGGTTAACATTGGTTACAGGTTGTAGGTCTACATAGTGTATTATATGTTTTCCTACCACTTCATGTATATGATCACATTGCCATACCTGTAAACAGTACGCAGGTAGCATAGCTTCCTGCCGCTCTAGAGTGGGAACTTACTCGTTCCCGCATGCTAGGAAATCAGCCGATTTCCTAGTTTTCGTTTCTAGGCCAACCATGGCCGTGGATCCCGCACGTAAGTTGGAACCCGGTAAGAAAATAATACAACCATAAAAAAGCAAGCGTAACCTGAATTATCACATTTTATATACGTCTACAAAGTTAATATGTGTGTTATTATAAGTTAATAATTATGTTGGTAGGAAAAATCTTGTGTGTATTACGAGAATAAACAGTCTTTGTGCTCTTTTGAAAAAGGATAGCCACTATATTTTCATTATAACATATTTACTATTAAATCAGTTTGTCAACGCAAAACACGTTTGACTTAGCTCCAAACACTTTTCAATCAGCTCTAAGTGTTTTGCGTTGCAATACAAAGGAAATATTGAAAGAGATTACGTTTTCATTTGGTAGTGCCATACTATAGCAATTTTAGATGGAATAAGCTATCTAAGTGAACTTGCAATAATTTTGTTATATGTTTTATTAGTTCAAAGTAGCCTACTTACGGTTTCTTTGAGACGATACGACTTGGCCATGAGAGTCTCTAGCCACTGCCACTGCCCGCCAGGATCCTCCCCACCCTCCTCACCGGTCCATAGGTTGGTGTTGAGAGCAACCAGCCTTAGTCGCCGGGACTTCTGCTCGATTGAGTAAAACCCTCCTGCAATATTGTTGGGATAGTGAAATAAATGTGGAATCAACCTATTTTTTCGCGTTTTTGTCGCTTTTTACCACTTCCATTTAAGTTCTTTCAAGTCTAATACGGAGTTATAGTTGTTCAATTTATTATTGGTAAAATTTAATGCGTATAAATACTGTAGCAGAATTAGATAAAGACCATTTATACTGCTTGGGTAAATCAGGAAATCTATGGTTATGCAATGTATATCGATATTATATATAATTTTACCTTGACAATTTAAAATTGAATATACAAGTACATTATAAAACCTACTTTGATGTATTTAACTGTAACATATTTGTTATAAGACTTGCCTTATTATTATCATACATTTAAAGATTACATATAACTATAATAAGAATTTATACAGAGTTTTAATGAAGTTATACCTGTAAATATATGGTGTGCAATGTGCAAAAATAACTCCTACCCGTTGTATAGTGTAGCTTCAGTATACACGAGTAGAAATAAATTATATATATATCCGTAGCAAAATAGTATATCCGAACCTAGATTGTATCATGCTTAAAAAAATATAAAAACCTGTTAAGTAAATTACGCATAATTCTGTTCTTGATATCTGAAAATTCTACATCAAAAGTATTACGGCTCACTTGTATGCAAGTAATATGTGTCTCTGGTCGTCACAAAAACCAGGTAACCATCCAACGTACAAGTGAAGCAAGAAGCAAAAGCAACACTTCTTTGAGATCAATCTATTGTTGTACCTTTGTTGAAGGTGTGTAGGACCTCTGGTGGCAGCCAGTTCCGCCACATGGAGCTGAGGTGACGGTAAGGTTGCGTCTCGGCGGCGGCTGACCTCGGGTCGTTGTGACCGAGGACAGGGAACACAAAACTGCTGGAAAAGGCGTGGCTCAACAAATGAGTCAGGTTCCTGACAGCGGCGAAGTTGTCTGCTAGGTGTTGGCGGCTGGGGTTGGACAGTGCATCCCTGGAAAATAGATTTTAGAATTTAGTTTAAGGACTACTAAAATATAACACAGAATATTGTCTCTAGCTGGTGACCATCTCAACAGATTGCACCTCGGTTTTTTTGGATTTACATTTTTACATTACATGGGAAGTCTAGCACGTAGTAGTAGTGGTAAATCCAAATTAATTTCCTGGACATCAATCTTAGCATAGTTTTGTGCTTTTATAATTTAATTTATGAAAACCTAACCGTTCTACAACAGTTGAAAATCTGATGGATACATATATGCAATAAGTATGAACTTTTTAAATATATGAATAATAAGGGATTATGAATATACCTAATTTCGAAAGCCATCAATATTCGATCAAGGTTTGTATAAATGATGAAGACTTACCCAGTCCAGAGCACGAACTCTATGTTCTCTCCATGTTTGGCCTTCATGGCCAGGACGGCGGACTCTATAAGAGGCCAGGGTGAGTCACAGTTGTAGTCCCCGTACTTGCCTAGAGTCAGTCTGCTGGTGCCTCCTCGCCAGCAATCTATAGGGATAACACATGCTTAACATAGTAAAAGATACAATTTCCACTTCTTTCTTAATTTGTCTTATTCCTCTATATTCTAGCATAGAATTGGTTTACTCAATACTTCAGGCTGGATCTAGAGTGGGTCGTGGCATTATCACTTAGATCAAATCCATTGGTAGGATATGAACCCGAGGCCACTAGGACCTATATTCTGCGCTATACCATTAGACCAGCTCACTCCCGATCTTACATTATTTTACATTAAACGTTGAGAATAATAAATTGTTGTAACACATGGGAGAAGCTTTATTGAGTGTTCTTTTAGTTATTCGACGGCTCAGTTGGTAACCTAACGAAGTGTTTGAGTGACTAAATAATTTATGAATTTGTTCAAGTTTTGCATAGTTTCTATTGGTTATTCTTACATTCTACTGGCTTATCCTTCTCTTGGATATGTACCTCGCACAGACCTTTGAGATCCATATGATCGAAAAATAGGAGGTTGAGAGAAAGCAATTAACTAGAAATAAAAACGTGATCATGTTTATAATATGAACTGTAACAATATAATTATTGAAACTTCATTACAAACAATAAAGTTGATAGTTTAGGGAGTAAATTTTATCACCAAAACTTTTAATTAATTGAAAAAATCCCATTATTGGTTGGGTAGTTATGATTGTAAATAAATTAATTAGATTAATATGGAGCTGTGATTGTAACACCAATTAAGAACATAAGCACATTCAAGTATGTAAATACTTTACGAAAAAAACATTATACGTTTTACACGTTAATAACCCGTACAAATATTCAAATAAACTTGATTTTAAATGCATATTTTGTATGCACAAAGCTGGACCCTAAATCAAAATGTTCAAAATTGCTAGTTGTAGCTAATTATGGGTTTTGATACACCAGAGAGATATAAGTTAGTAAAAATACATTTCAAATATCTATGATCAGAGAGATACAGGCTTATACAATGATAAAAACGAGGGACTGGAGAGTGGATATCAGATTGGAATCTATTAAAACCCAGTAAAATTGTATTTGTTGTGCTACCAGACCCTCTACCAGCTCTCATCCCATCCCATTCTAACCATGAATGGTTAGTCAAATAAAAAATATATATATTAAATAGTTAAACTTATGATCTCTTTATAATAAATTGAATTAGATGTTTGAAAATGTTTTGATTAAATCAACCATTTAAGTTTCAAAACGTATTTCTTATTAATTGTGGACGATTCTGTCTATATGATAGCTACAGATAGCATGTAATAAGTTTGGACTATACAAGGTCCAAAAATGTCGACTTATTAACATTAAGACACACCCTGACTATATTTATATTCTATTCATATTGTTTACACACTATTGTATACACTCAAATGATTAAAATCTACTCACTATTGTCTTTGTAGGAGTGGTAGTGGGTATCTAGATGAATGTCAGTTATGTGCCAAAAATAACCTGTAACACGAATTAATTATTGGAAATCTCATTGATAAGAACTCTTTTGTATTACCAACTCACAGTTAAGAACTTTATATTCAAAAGCTGTAATGGAAATTGGTCGAACCTTAACATAGATTCAAGTTTTAACTGAAAGAAAGCTTTAGATGATTTCAGTTGGTTTGTTATTTTCAAAGAATTTTACATCATGGAGAATTAATAAGAAATAAATATTTATATTTAATCAAGCATATTTAACAGATAATGGTTAATATGTAAATAATACCAAAAATTGCATACAAAGGTACAGTTTAAATACTTTGGAAACATAATCAATGTATCTTGGAGTCTTTGGAATCGTACCAGAACCACCAGTAATATGCAGTACATTTCTTTTCTAACAATAACTATGGAGTAAACTGTTTTTGAAAATATATTAAGAGCATTCAAAAAATGCAAGAGTATAACTCAATGTACTTTAAGGTTAGATTTATTGTGTGAATCAAAACTATTATCATATTCTTTATAGTATTCTTGAAGTATATTAATTTGAGCATTTACTTACCTATCTTAGCAGGCGACACTTGTGAGAGGAAATACGTCAACAAAACTATTTTCCACAGCATTTTCTGCAACAAAATAAAATGCAATGTATTAATATGCAATAATTATTACAGGTTTATTAAATTTCAACCATAATTCAAACTTAATTTATAAATAAACTTAAGATGTAAATATAATATATATTTAACTTTTAAAACGTAACTATTCAACATGACATGTAGAATTATATGTATATGTATATGTATGACAAATTTATACATTTTCATGATATTAGAGATTATGCTTTTGTTGGATTACGTTAATCATGAAGTTCAAAAATAATGATAAAAAAGAGTAATTTGTAAAAGTAAAATACAGTTTTGAGTCACACAGTTTTTTATGGCCTCAGTCAAGAACATATCTCACAGATTGATGCGGTACGTTTATCACCAGCTTTTTACAAAGAAAATGAACTTTTCATTTTATCGTCTCTCTTCTCAGCTGTTTTTCACAATTTCAGCTCAATACTTCACAAGAAATTCTTGTCGGTGTATTGGTTGTAACAAAGTGTAATGCTTTTAGCGATTTTATAATTATGATTACTTAAGAAAATTCAATTTTAGCGAATTTCCCTATAGGGAAGTAGCTATTACCGTCGGTCTCATGGTAAGACTTAGGCCCGGGACCGATTTACTTTTTCATTTTAATGTCCCCAGAGGCCAAAAACACCATTCGTTCAAATTTTTATATATGTATATATATATATATATATATATATATATAGATTTATATATATATATATGTGTCCGTGAACACGATAACTTGAGTAATTTTTATCCGATTTTGATGAAATTTGGTTTGAAGGTGTAAGGCGGGATAAACTTGAATGAGTTCGCGATCCAGCATGATCGGACCATGGGAACAGGGTTTTATGGGGGGTTTTATGGGGTAAAAATTGGTTTTTTCTCACTTCTTACCCTCAAAACACAAAATTTCCCAATTTTTCTCTAAACCTTCTTAAAGAGCTTAAAAAAAAAAAAAAACAATTCAGTATATCAAAGTGTTTTTGTACGGTTATTGGTTACGGAGAAAACTAAAAAAATGGTAAATTTAAAATTCCTATGTTATTCTTATGGAGAATATTGTAAAATGTTGTAGTTTGCTTGTTTATGGATATATTTTGATCAAACTTGGCAAATTTATTTATTTTATAGTAAGCTATCAATATTTTACTAAAAACACACTACTTTATTAGTTTCCTTGTAGCAGCAAACCTAGGTACTCGTTAAACCTAATGTTATTTAAATAGATCAATTGAAAATCAATTCGGCCAAATGGAAATTCGCTTAGACGGCAGGTTTGCTGCGGCGGGGGTATTTGTTTATATGATTGTTGCTTTTATGATCGGTGATGATGATTTTACCTTTCAGTAAATCCTTTTGTTAATCTATTATATAGGGTGCACATACCTGCATGTACATGCCTAAATGCAAATTTGCACGCGCCATTCAAACCAGGTAAAAAGTGAATCTTGTAGAGATCCCATAAGTAAAAAAAGACCTGACTTTAGCGTTCAAAACAATTCATTTTATGCTGTGTCACCATAAAAAATATACAATTGAATATAAATAACTAAACGTAACATACATGATATTAATAGCGAAGCTTATATAATCCTCATCGCTTAGAGGATTTATTATCATTACAAACTAAGTCAGTTAACTATAAAGGGACACAGGTAATACTCTGTACGCTCCCATGGCTTGTAATAATTAATGGACCCTAGATCTTGTTAGTGAGGGTTAAGGAAGTGCATAATCTTATTTTGCTAACGTTCACTGTTTATAAAAGTGCTCAGCTGCACACAATTGAATGATTGAATAATTGATTTATGACTTAAGTCATGAATAGTTATGTTTTCATCCTTTTTGGTGTTTAATAAATTATTATTATTTGACGTGGGAAACTCTATAATGGTAAAAAAGTAAGAAGAAACATAAATATTGAAAATGTTTTCCTAAGATAATCAATTTATTTTTATATTTTGTGAATTATTTCTTAAAGCTTAGTTATTCTGTAAATCTCTAGAATATAATAAATTTACAATGTTAACAAATTTAGTATAATTTATTTTAACATGATTTTACCATTGGGACAAATATAATAGCAATGCAAAACTGTGCGTTGACAAAGATTCCCTGGAGGATTTTGTCAGGTTTTCTGGTACGTGTTGAAATTGCTCGTCTGGTTTTAATGCGATATCTCTTTAAAATACAAAACTTAATTGTGGAATATATTATACATGCACTTGAGCATAATATGATTCAATTTCATCGCATAGCTCAGTAATATTTATAGTAAGTATACTTGCGGACATGTTCAAAGTAATCAAGTTTATTTTTATCTCGTATGGATAACGACAACGTTATTGTAATACTCCTACTAGCAATGCATTTTTGGTGATTTTGCAATCATATTTTCGAAAAAAATTTGTTTTTTTTGTCACGAAAATCTCACAGAAAATCTACTACAGCTCCTTTGTAATACCTTTTTTTAATTTCTAGGTTTTTTTTAGAAAGTACTGGGAATTAGGGGATGTACAATATATATATGAATAAATATATTGATGAAAACGTATTTCAAACATTCAGTTTGAGTATAAACTTTGTGTCTAAGGTAGAAAACAATAAAAAGGTCTTAAAATCCTTGTAAGATAATTGAGAAAATGTAAACAGTCAATTCAAATCTGCTTATCTGTAAAACAATATTTTCTGTGCAAGTTAGCATGGCCTATGAAATAACTAAACACACACTGAAGGACGGAGAACTCATGTGGGCATTTCAGCAACTAACTCCCATCTTCCACCGTGTGTGTAGGTGTACAAGCCATTGAAAAAAGTGCCAATAACTATGGTAGTGCCAATAACTCTAGCTATTACCCTATGTGTGTGGAGTGTAAACGTTTTGTCTGGCTCATTTGTTTTATCCGTTTCAATAAATAATATGATGTTCTGATGAAAACCATTCATTTCCAGTTCTATCATTTCTAAGTTCTTTTTGCAAGTTGTGGCAATATCATATACTACTGCAAACAGTCAGGAAAATTTAAGGAGCTACATAGATATATTTTTATCGATTTTAAATCAGTGTACAATAGGCCTATTTATTTTGTCACATCTAAAGCTTACCGTTAATGTGTTAAACCCGTAGTATTTACCCTACAAATGACTCATATTTCTGTCCATCTGTCGTACTCAGCTTGAGTCTTTGTTTCTTCTGTTTGAATATTTTGTGACTAAACTCTAGATCTTTACGAAAGCAATCTTTAACCAATTATTGGAATCAAATAATACTTTTAGCATGAAGATCGTTCTATTTCTTAAGTTTTATTTTCATTATAGAGTGTTTACCTCCTACAAATCAACTGACAACCAATTAGAAAAAGGGGTGTCATTAATAGAAAATACGCCAACTCAAAACTTAAAGTTGCTAAATTTCATTAAACTTAATTTATACGAATCTGTTGCCCATTCATTTGCTACTTAATGCAATCAATACTACAGTAAAAGTTGAATGGTAGTTAAATACGCAAAAAGAAAACTAAACAAACATAGACTTGGGTCCATACTCATAATTTAACTCGTTGCTTTGTTTTGAAGCCTTAAACTACAAAAGTAGCTTCAGGGGTATTTTATTTAACATTCCTACTACCGCAGGAATGTTAAATACAAAGGAAAATAGCTTGAGAGCGATGGGTAAGTCGTTATTGCAAATCGAAAGAAATAAGTTTGTAAAATGGGCCAAATATATTGGTGTTTATTCATTCTATGGTTTTATAATCTGAACTCAAATTGATTGTCGAACCAGGTTGTTGAAGCTAGTAAAATTATTTATTTTCTCTAAAGAGCCTCGAAAATAAATATTTGATATTTTTGAGCTAGTGCTAAATATTATCACGTGAGGCTATCACAATAGTTTTAAGTGATTGATTTACAATTTTAGAGGTTATTTGTAAGTATTTTTTAGGCAAGTCATTAACCAAAGCATAGTGTCCAAAAAGATTTACATTATGTATTCTTTGTATTCTTTTTGCTTTATATGAGCCAACCTACATGCTTAAAAAAATTAAACGCTAAACAGAGAGTTGTCATAAAATTATCACTAAATTATAATTTTATTTAATAAATATTTCCGGCTATAGAAGTTTATAATGTAGACTCTTGAGCAATACATCAATGTAAGGATACGTACAATGCGTACAATGCATTATAGAAGTTTTCAAATGGAGGATATTTATCTTACTTTGTAAAAGACATTTATCACAACTCCACTACCTTCGTATGCTAAATTAGATACAATATCCGGAAATTTCCGTGCTCATCGTCATAGTTATTTCTCCTTTACATGCTGAGTTTAAGGGTGAATCCCAAATGAAAAAATACATATGTCATAGTATTAACAGTTTATTTATTACTGCATTTAACACTATTTCGCAATATATTTATAACATCAATTTTCACACTTTAATCGTAAGCCGGCTTAAACAAGATTTTCTCCTTGATTATTCAGATAATAGGGTATTAGCGAGTTTATTTCGCTTAAATTTAATTTTAGCAATGATAATACTTATTGATATTTCATTTATAATACTAGGGAAGAAAAAACTGACGCAATTCCAAGGACTTTTTAATGAAATACAAACAAAAAGTACGTAAACAGTTCTTCAGCTTGAAACAAAAGAAAAATAATTATCTCCGTCAGCAAACAACGCACTGCAGCAGACAAAATTTAGCCGACTTGTAGATTTGCCTTTGTAACTTTATTTTTCTTATATTGAACTGAACGTTTTCTTTTAATATGTAGGGTAAAAAGTTTATGCAAATGTTATAACATTTATACTTTATTTATGATTCAAAGGTAAGCTATTTTATAAACGATCCAAATTCTAACTAGGAGAAACGTTTGTTATTTCTTTTTGTTTCTTTTATTTTTCACAAACTTATGGTGTACAGTTTTTAAGGTTATTAAGATAATGTTGTTAGACAATCAGTCTATGTTCTATGATTTTTCATTATGGTTATATATT